ACAGACAAACAAAATTAAATAAATATATTATGCATTGCTTTAGAAGTTCAGTTCAGTATTCTTTTTGATGACGAAGAAACCTCACAATGTATCTAGCTTTTTGGGGATGAAAGACAAGGTACTGTGGGATTATAACCTAACCAAAATCACCCCGGTGGCCACCCCTCAACTCCTGTAAGGAGGCACCGGTAAATCTATATAAATATCTCACAATAAAATTTTCTCCTATAAAAAGAATACCCATAAGTTTTAAACGATTTCGTATCAATTAAAAGTTGAACAATTTGGTATTTTATTTCATTTCATACGTCGAACTAATTGAATAAAGTGGGTGTTGAACAAATGTATTCATTTACTACTCGATTTTAACTCGATAGCGTTCTAATTGAATCATGTATCACATATTTATATTGCAAGTTAATATTAAAAAACTATTTACGTATCCATTTTCACATATTTTAAACAACCTGTATCCTAACTTCATGTGATATTTTAGCTATAAATAAATAGCTACAAATCGAGATTTAGAACTAGTACTGTAAAACAAAAGGCTGCCTTATTTCGGGAATAAAAATGATGAAAGAACTCAGAACTTTTTGCTAAGCAGTTTTACTTATAGCTTACAACTATTGGAGAACGAGAATGCTGATAAAAAACTTCTAATCACATTTTCTACGCCCTATTAACATGAATCTAATACAAATTTGTTTCTACAAACACATTGACATTGTTTACCAAGTTCATTAACCTAATTACTAAATCAGTCAATTTAAAAACAAACAATTTGTTGCGTAAAACTGTATCAGTATTTACATCGATAGTAAAACGTCCTCCATGTTATTTACTGATTTCATTTGGAACGTCAAACGCTACTGTTCATGGTCACGCGACAATTATCCATGGCCTGCCACCGCCAGTCACTTACACCAATCATTCGAACCATGTATTTTGTACTAAGTTGGAATTAGAAACCAGTAATTTGAAATGAGCAGCTGTTTGCTCTCGGTTCTAGTCGTAATGTAAGAAAACTAGCACTTGCACACAAGCTTGGGATTTTTCGTACATAATGCCTAACATATTATTACAATTTCGTCCTATCCTTAAAAATAATTTAATAATACTTCTTTTAATCTGAAGATCCATTACTTGTAAGGGCGACTGCATTCTTGTTACGAACAATTTTTATAACAATTTAGCTTCTCCCCTCGAATTCGTACGCGCAATCCCGTTTTTCCCGTTCCCGTTCGTGATTTTCGGTAAAAAGTAAAAATAAAATATTGGATAAAGAGTATCCTATGTCCGTCTCCTGGTTCTAAGCTACTTCCTCACCATTTTTAGCCGTTCTTGTCACACGTCTTTAAATTATACCAACCATATCTACGCACGCGACAAATGTCACGTATTACATACATACGAATATTACATAGTGCTGTATTCTTCAAACAATTTGATTCCTCGAAAAGATTTTGTTCGCTTTGCAAAATTCTACGTAAGATGTCCTCGTGAAACGTTAAATTCCAAGTAGATTAATCCCCTAGTGCCCTCCAGCTTTCTTTCAGTTTATTTTCCTTTCATTCTTTCTTGGTTGCGCTTTCGTGGTTGGTTGTACCTCTAAGAACTGTTTACTTGGGTTTTATTAGCTCTGTGCGTAAAATTATGTGAATGACAAGTCACATGCGTGTGTCGAATGAGGTTTATATTTGCACCCATAAGACACGCAAGATTTGTACACGTCTCAAGTGGTGAACAGATAGTAGTCCCGTGTACCTTCATAGTACCTTTTTAATACAGAATCAGCAAGAAGTTAACTTGCTGTCGGTCGCATTGAATTTTTTTCACGATTCTAGAACGAATACGAATCTTATTTCAATAAGTCCGTAGCAATCCACGTGATTTGGTCCTCTGATTGAAACAGGCATCCGAAATATTATGGTTTTCGGAAGCTGTGCTGTTTAATACACGCCAAGCACGCCCGACAAACGTGACAGACGTCCTTACTCGAATCAAAAACGGAATAATAAAAAGAGAGATTAATTTGTGGTTGCTTGATATGTATGTACATACATTTCCATAGCAAAACCAATTCAATAAACATACACGTATTTTGATAAATAACATTAGAAAGTAGATTTAAAATATCCCTCTCGATATTTGAATTCGATTGAAAAATCCAGTGCAACCGAGTACTTTTTGTCGCACTAAATCCATCTTACCGCACAGCTTGTTACAGCAGTTTAGATCGAAGAAATCGCATTAAACTCTCTGAGAAGATTTTAGTCTACAGATTTCTAGAAATGCGGTTGCCTTCTAAACCGACGTAAACTTTAGGGTCTTCATTTTGTATTTATTGCGATTCCAAAGATCACCGCCATAATATTTTGTTAATGGCCCTTGGAACGACGCGATAGACATTGACTCTGAAACGAAACACGAAACTTTGTATTTCTTCATCGTGTAATAGGCCCCCCGGGCTCCATAATAATGTGACTTACTACATTCGCGCACCTCTCTAAATTATAGAGCTTTACGTGTCCCATCATGACGTGATTCTCCGCCATGAATCACGGCTGACGAGCTCATTTGTGTCAGGTAATGCCGTTGTATGGATTAATTAGCTTCAAAGGATTCTTGAGATTTGACATCCACGTTTTGTATGTTCCGTGTAGGTATAATGTAAGTAACAAAGTTAACAGAATGGGTGCCTATGTGATAGTTGCGAGGGTAGGTATTCGACGCACATCCTTATAATTACGGTGAGATTAAATACATCACGTATTCCCGGAACGTTCGTTGGTATTTATTTATACGCTAGGGAGGGTTCATAAAGTAAAACAAATCCCTTAATATAAAGAGATTTGATTGTAAGCGCCTTGATTTTTTTTCCTATCTGGAACACACGGCGTGACCCACAAAGGAGGGTAAACAATCGTGCCATAAACACAGCTGCCTGTATTAATGTGATAGCTCTGAACAAAGTATACCTTCATTTTATTTAATCATAACTTTATTTGTAGTAGATAAGTAAATATTTTTTGGTAACGTCATGTTGGTTTGCTGGCTACTGGATACACAGAAACATTTACCTTATATTTGTCCCGTTTTAACTCTACTCAAGGAAAGTACGCCAGTATTTTTATCACATCACGTTTTCACGTTGATATGGATGATTCCATAGCGGTTAAATGTATAAAATACTTGTAAAAGATACAACAGTCAAACTATTTGTGTACAGCTTTGTTGGACATGTCGTTAGATTGTAAGGCATACCATGTACCTTTTATTGTTTAATAAATAAATAATAAAGTTATCTTATTTCAAGTAATCTTAGCTACATAATAATATACAGTGTGTAACATTGCTCAATTTTCCGAAACGTCCCACTGACCTGCGAGCTAAACCTTTGCAGGCATTACACAAACTGCGGCATGAAAGCTTTTGAGTGTTCTCCTGCGTTGGATATAAAGGGAATCTCATGTTTTTGTCAAGACCAAACTAATATGGCCATATTCATCTTGCCTCTTACAACGCTGACATATGTAGCAACGTGAAATAAGTTTCTCTACGCGCAGTCTACAACAGTATATGTTAACCACACTGAAGTGATAATTAGCAAATGGTACAGCTATCAAAATGCCAGCCGAGTGGTTACCTACCTACATTTGAATGTCAAGCGTCGCGTACAACTCGAATATAAAGTAACCACGTTCATTAAAAAATTTTAACGACGTACGTAGGTACTAATTAATGAAACGACGTTACTTTGTGGTGAGTGTGCTGGCTGAGAGCACAGCATCAATATATTTTACGAATTTTTTATGACCCTTGTCGAATTTTCAACGAAATTGATGCCGTGTACTTGGCAAAAGCCTTTTCGTTCACGATAAGCTTGTTAAAAAAAAGGTTGGAAGTATAAAAGCATTCTTTTATGACATTTTAGTTTTAATGGACGGTATGTTAATTTTATCAGGGCATGTTGTACAAGATAAGCTGGCGTTGGAATCTTTCCAGCTGCGACACATTTTCTTAGTCAATAAACCTTAATAGTGGCACATAGAGGGTGGCTTGTCTGGGTAGATACAAGCTGCCTGCGAGCTTTTGTTATGACGCCACTGGAGAGACCTGTATTCGACAGAAAGCCATTTGGGTTACATAATGGTCACAAACATCCTCACGGAGTCTGGCCGACGTAGTGCCAGCTAATTTGGTCGTTCCTTTAAATTACACTCTGTTCGATGTCGGGGCTGAAATGGATTAGTTACAGATGTTGCTTTAAAAAGATTTTGAGATATTTTATAGCCAATAGTCATGTACTAGTAGCACTGATGGAAACAAGGAACTCGTAAATAATAATGTGATACAGGAATTTTGTTTTACTTTTGTTTCGTAATGGGATTTCCAAAAAACTCTTATATAACAATCCACACATAATTATATGTTAATGTAGTAAGGGTCAAACTTCCCCGAACATTATCCATATCCGATATGATACGGAAAACTAACTTTATTTTCTTCCCGATCTTTACAAATCAGTTCTTAAACGTGTCGTGAAAGTTTTTCTTGTTATGATAATAATGTTCCGAACACAAAAAGAGGACAAAAGTGTATGTATTTCTTTACTTGTAATATTTTTGTTTGGTACAAAGTAAATGATACTTCTTTTGTCGAGTGGTAAGTGTGATTGTGGAGCATTAGATCTATGGTTTGAAACCCAGATACACAGACCGGAGACGACGGGTTTCGTATATCGAGTTTGGAAATCTCAGTGTTAGCACAAGTCTGAAATTACGCCTGACATTTGACAACAGTCTGTAATATTATAGTTGTTATTGGTTATAGTTATTAAATAACTGGTAAAAACTAATTTACAAGATCTACAGAAACTTATCTACTTAAAGAAACCCCCCCTCCCCTCCAGAAAATGACAGTCCAGATCATAATAACTTTCGAAAATGAAAAAGGAAAAAGTGTATAATTTTTAAACATATTCATTTTCTGTGCAGAGGCTCCGGAGTGGGGTCCAAAATTGGTGTCAGACCGGTCATGGTACGGCGTGGGGTCTACGCTGCGAGCAACTTGTGCCTCGCCGCCTTCCCATCCACCAGCCAACCTGACCTTCGCACTAAATGGGCGTGAGGTAAGAATTTCCTAATACAATACAATAAACATATTTGGTAAGGTTACGTCTCCAATATAAACCGCATCTGCAGATGCAGAAATTGTTTGCCATTCATAAGTCTCAATTAAAATTAAAAACAGGTCCAAAACCATTTAGAAAATGTATAAAAATATGGACAATACAGAAGAAAAAGAGAAAACGTGTTAAAAGAAAAATATTTTTCATTACTGATAAGTCTGATGTGACGACACCACATAGATGAACCACAACACATCTAAGGCAATTTCCAAAAATGAACATGGGGACGACAAACACTGGATATTAAGCGCATATGAAGTAATTAACAAAAGCTACTTGTGTTAATAGGGTTCAAAATGTTTATAAATCTGTACAGACTATCATGTTTCGTGACTATAAAGCATTTAACGAGTAGAAAAATGAAGTGGTTAACTTTTCACCACAAAATCACCTCACTTCATATGATATCAGCTCAAATAACGTATATTTGTGGTAAAGGCCCTTCTTCTGTTTTAATGGAAACTTCCCGCTATTTTAATGGAAGCATTTCATTAACTGTTAACATTAATAAAAGCAGCGAAATAGAATTTGTCCAATTTTATTGCTATTTTCTACTGTGACATTTGGCCAGATATATGGGTGCCCCGTAGCAATGCTTAAAGACCAACGATAGGCTAGAAGAATCACCCTATGGAATGGCCCACAAGGCAAAAGAAACAGGCGGAGACCTATTACGCGCTGGGCAGACGACATCAAAAGGTAGCTGGCCCAAATTGGAACGAGATAGCACAGGACAGAGAAATGGTCCTCTTTGGAGGAGGCATTTACCCATCACTGGGTTCTTGCTGAATGCCATAATAATAATAAAGAAATAGATAAATAATACTTAATTAACAACACTAACCAAACCTAAGTAAATATTAAATTATAATACAAATACAATAACTGTATTTATTTTTTTATTGTACTTTGTAAAGTTCGATAAGAAATAAAAGGCTTTTTTATTAATTTTATCTTATGTTATTTATTTATAATCCGGTGGTATTTTAGGTCTAATCAAGGAATCGCTTGCCAAACATAGACAATATGGCACAGCCTCTCATATAGAGAATCAAGATTCATAGTTCAGCAATTGACTGTCGGACTCTTGATGATGAAATTCTACAAAACATCTAGAATTCCATACTCACCACGTATAACATACAAACAGTAGTTTTGAAAACCCAATTACAGTTTAGAAAGAATAGAAAATATACCTGTGTGGTTCGAGTTTGACGGTTAAATCAATATTAGTTCTAGCAGCTAGTGACCGAAGTCAAAGATAAGTAAAGTACGGCGTTGTAATAATAACTCGAGTAGGTCAGCAGATCGATGTGTTATTATTGTGGATCCAACACTGTTTGCAGACGGATCTTTTATAATTAAATAACTTGATTAGTTTACTCACCCATCTAAGGCCAAAATGTAATTTGATATTGATGGAAAACCACATTTCAGTAAGCTTATGATCATGGTCTATTTCAAGCATCCACGTGTTTGGCAGTTTTAGCAGGATTTCAATAAATGTCATGAAAAATTTGGTCCAATATTCTGTGTAAACTTCGTGTACTGTACAGCATACACTAAATGACAATATGACATAGCAATATCAGTACAAGATGAAAAGCTATTCACCGGATCTAGTTCTATTGAAATAGGAACGGGACTATGGGCGAAATCTGATTACTATCCCAGTCTCCTTGCTGTTATGTTGTATTTCATAACAGATAACTCCGATCATTTTACCAGACTCATCAACAGTTTGCTACTGGACTATGCCCCCTGTATGTAAAAGGACTAGTGTATAAAACAACTCAATTTAAAATACTGAAGATAAACCTCCTTTTTAAAAAAATTAATGAAACAGTAGCGCCCTATACACCATTTTGTAACAAGACAATGCAAAGTAAATCCCAAAATTAAATAGATGTAAGGGTCAGGTGAGCATCATGTAACTAACCTAACCATAAAGATAAGAAAATCTTCCGAATGCCCCTAAGTTGCCGTATCAGCTCGGAAAATAGGTTAAATATAATAAAATAGAGGAAATTTGTAGCCATTAATGTGGATGTTTAACAGAAATTAAGGCCACGGGGTTGAGAGGACATTAGGAGCTTAACTCCGGACCATGTTACACCGGGGGTTAAACTAACCTTTTAATCTCAGTAGTTTCAACTTATCTTTGAAAATTATTTTTTTAATGTGCTTTTGTTTTAGTTCTGGTTTGGTTGTTCTACATTTATGGCTTTTTATTGGCGTGTAATATGTTATTTTAATAATTACCTATGAACTTTTTTAAATAGTTTAGATGATTGCAAAGAAATTAAGACAGACTCAAAGCTAAGTCCACATAATTTATAATAATTTCATAGTAACTATCGTGAGACATACTAAATTAAATAAAAATTGGGGGTTACTCACGTGACTATACTGAGAAAAGCTCTACTAGTTTCGAGCCTCAGAGGGGTTCTTCCCCATGAGCACCGTCCGTGGTCGAGAGAACCCCTCTGTGGTTCGAAACTAGTAATTTTTAGTTAATTTCAAAGTGTTAACTATGAAATCAATTCAATTTGTCAGTCCCTATAAACGTTTGCTTTGATACGGATCACATTGTTTAACCGATACTTAATTCTAAACAATTATATAGAAATACCTAAAACTATAGTTGTTAAAACTAATTAATATTGAAATGTTTATTATTTCAAACATGTTACACATATTTTAAAATATATTTACCCATTTACTGTCTAAGTATGGACCTTTCATTTAGGTGTAACCTATTTTTAGACGTTTATGATTACCTAACATTCATATTAATCAATCATTGTTTGTTTCTGTATTACAATAAACATTTTCAACGACTATTTTGCATGACGAGTAAAATGTTTACGTAGGTAATATTCCAAACATTTATTAATTGAAAACAACTTTATTCTCTAGCGTTCTATATACACGAGGCTAAAATGGGAATATAAATTCCTTTTAGCAATAATATCTGTGCGAATAATACAAATGGAGCATGAGACGCAAATATTTTACTGACGAACTATTGATATTAAAAATGCGTTTGATCAGCATTCAGCGGACGGCTACGGACGGGTCCGCCATGTCCACGACCGAACAATGGACCAGTTTCTACTTGCTTTACTTTGATGCGACCGTTGTTTTTGCCGGCGTCACTGCCCGCTGCGTAGGCGAGTTCATTAATCACAAAACAGCTCAGAGCTATATAAGCTTCCTTTATCTAACGTAGAGCTGTGTAATATCCGTAATATTTCCCGCTCCACCACTGGGTGCGTCTCAGTATTTTATTATATTGTATTTTTCTCAGATCGACATGGAGACTGTGATACACGAGTTGCCGACATGGTTCAAATGGGATCCTCCTCCGAAGGCTGAAACTACGACTACGGAGCAGCCAGATGATGATGTAAACTTCAATATTTTTCATGATGAGGGAAATATACAGTACTTGGACGAGTCATATATAAATTTGCATAAAGAGGAGATCAGGAGGCCTTCGAAGGAGAGTTTGAAGCCAACGTTCGAGAGAACGGGTCCAGATAACCGGCTGCCTTCTGTCGGGGACGTGTCGTTCGTGGTTCGGAACGAGGCGTTTGAGCGTGGCAGTCTCCGGCTGACCTGCATAGCGAGCATATACAACTTGTACGCGGCACGCGCCGAACTAATTTTCGATATGGAGCAACCAGAGGTTGCCTCCGTGCTAGGCGTCCGTAATAGAGCAGTAGGTAAGTGCAATCGATACTTGTGTAGCGACTTCGGCTCGCGAAATAGCGTCGGGATAAAACACTAACCCATTCTCATATCATTTTGTAACACTAAGTCTAGATTATGGTACATTACCCAATGTAAGTTACAATTTTCTTCCAAAGCATTTAAATTAATTACAGACATACGAACGTAATCTTAATTTAGATGGTATCAAATATCAAAATCAGACATGAAGCCTCTATTTACTCTAATAAATAAGTATCTAAGAATCTAAAGACTAACTAAACAAGCTTAGTATAGACGTTATCTAATATACAACTAAATATAAAAATAAAGTGCATCGCAGGACCTAAATAGCCGCGGACCGCTTTGGATAAAAGTGCACAGTCCGGTAATGCGGTTTAGATCTCGAGCAAATTTCCCCTGGCAGCACTATAAATAGGACACTGAACACGTATTCTTGATACATTTTCTTCATACAATAACTCTTTTATTTACTGGCGGAAATATTGTTCAATTTTAGCGATAACTGCCTTTCTGATCTACCGGTTGCAAGCGCGATTGCCAAGTAAGGCGTATAGGATTCGATTGGACCCTGTTTTCGGGACAACATAACTGGCCAAAAGTATCTTTTACATTTACTATTTAAGCTCCTATTCATCACATTGACAAATAAATGGTATGGTGTTATGTAATATACCGATAACATTATTTAATTTTGTTTCAGATTCAACGAGACTTTGGCGAATACCAACCACCCTCATCCCACTGCTGTACAGTATCCGGTAGTTCATTTAACAACTTTACTATTAAGTACAAAGTTATTTTAAGTACTATTCACATTAAAATGACTCTCATTGTGTACAAATTCATTGAACATATCCAATCTCATGAATTTACGTAATACGTATATTTCGTTGTACCACAATGTCTTATTTTCCTAAGTAGATAGTGATGCGAATATCGCGAAATATTTATATTATTTTTTAAAAAGAAGAATTGTTTATAATATTTTAGTCTTAGGTCAAACTGGCCAAATAGATTTAAATAAAGAATTAATCCGAATGTAAGATTAGATGGATTGTTATTATACAATTTGTAGAGGTTGTCCGATAATAAAATTAATAGTAATAAAAAAAACAACTGTCACTAGACCATTTTTCTAATCAATATTCAAAGATTTGGGACAAAAATCCTAATACGAAATACATATTTTATGTAAATATTAGAGTCCTAATAAATACTGGATTTGTTCTAATTCAAAAACTATATCTTGAAGACGTTTAACGTTGATGTCGCGGACTACTTGTACATAATAATGTGATAGCTAATAAATTAAAATTGTTAGTTTAATGGTACGTTTCGAAAGTACCTTGTACACAATCTATGTGAACCTTATCTTCCATATTTGCAAAGTATCAACGGTATAAAACCTATATTTGTAAAAGAAAATTTAATTTCATTATAAGTTAGGGCATATTTTTTACCCTTGACAAAGACTGATGAATAAAGATTAAAGCGAGGAAGATACATGTCATGCGGTTCTGTTTTCTCTGTATAAAATTTATTTATTATACTCAAATATGTACTGTTTTATCGTTAAATATAATAATTTTATCAGCCACCTTCGTCATTACGATTAAAGGAAGATTTTTATCACTTTTAAGATGAATTTAAATGTCGGACGTGTCTATAAGGTTAGATACTTGTTATTAAAACATTGTAAATAAATAGTTATAACGTCTAAAACTATGTAAATGAATATGAATGAATAGAATAAAGAAATATGTTGGATTTGTCTATAAAAACATTTTATTTCTATGTTGAGTAAGCCCTTGAAAAAGTTCGTCTATTTTTATCCTAATCTATCATTAATACGGACTGCCTTGTTGGCCGAGTGGTAGCAAGTGCGACTACCGGGCAAGGGGTTTGATTCCCGGGTCGGGCAAAGTAATACTGGGTTTTTTAAAAAATCTCAGTAGTAGCACGGAGTCTGGAATTGTGCTCAGTACCTATATGGCAATAGGCTCACCCTATTACATGGGACTCATAACATAAATAGTGAAAAGTGGGTGTTACATTGTACAGTGGCATTAAGTGCCGTAATGCGCACCTCTGCCTACCCCTTCGGTGACAAAATGCGTGATGTTATGTTGCTTTCATTAAAAAGTTATTCGACATATTAGTTAATAAATGACTGTCAGAGTACAAATGTGGTACTCATCAAATTACATAAGACCGCATGGCAACACGAGCATCAAACAAATAATATAACACTTAGTATATTGATAGACAACATTCCCGCTCACAGCCACGTACTTAGGAAGAATAACGAAGTAATTTCCCCTTGGAAGAGTTCCACCTAAGCCTCAATCAATCATAGTAGGAGATTGAGTCCACAATAAACAGTAGAAAATCCAGCTATTATCCTTATGGAGAAAATCATTTATTGAGCAGTTATTGTTAGAGAAAATGGATTAATCGCGCTCGAATCAAGCATGATGTATTACTTGTACGGGCTCTAATTTGCGAAGGTATATAAGTGAGAATAGATTCTTACTAAAGATAATAAAATAACAAAAAACTTTCCCGACACGTGTGCTATCGACAGAATGATGGATTAAAGTATAATTTGTTTGTAAACAAGGCCATATTACCTACCAAGCGGTTGTTTAGAACATAAAATGAAAGTCTATTTTTATTATTATTGGAATGTAACCGCTGGAAAATCCATTTACGAACGTATGGGTAATTTTGATACAAGCGAATACTTATTATATCGCCGCCCCAGGGCAGGGCGAGCTTACCCGCAACAAAACCAACAATTTATTTTCCAGTATTTACCAATGTCGGCAACCGCCGTGTGGCGCTATTGCAAAACCAATAACAATCAGTTATCCCGTTCTAAGGCTTTCGCCCGCCGACACTATTGTCTGGACTCTTCGTTAGGCGTTCTTTTCATTTACCCAGTTGCATTGATTGGACCAAATCCATCACGGCCCACAGAGCCCTTTCTGCTTGCCCATTGATTATTCCCCCAGTTTCGTGAAAATGAAACTTTTATGAATCGACGACGGAGCTCGTGACCCTTAACTAACTTTGAACTCGATAGAAACGGGTTTACGAGTAAATCGAATGAAAAATTCATAAATTATAATGCTTAAGTAATAACAACGTGAGTTTACAAGTTAAATAGATTACGGTAGACGCAGGGCTGTGTGGAAATTATGGACTTTGAAAATAAAGGGATGCTCATTTAGTAAAAGTTTAAATAAATCTACAGTTGGTCTTAAAAGCAAAGTTAAAGTTTGTTTGTGATAGCCGCGAGCGTGTTCTGGACAGCCGCAGAAAGCACTCATGAGTGGGGTGTTCGGTATTTACGAGTATGTAGCTAAATACATTGAGAGTAAGTAATATGTAAGTGTTAACGAAATTGTAGTTGAGAGGATAATTAAACGAGCAGAATAGATTCTCCAACAAAATGAAGTACAAAGATATTTGACCTAAACATTTTTAAACATCTGTCTAAAGTAAAATATATACCTATACCTAACATCCTCTTTACTATACAATTTCTTGGTACTTATAGCTCCAACATCAATTATACAACCCTTAATTAACGTGATTTGAAAATGAAAATCATAGAATGAAATTAATTATTAATATTGTTTATTTAGCTTCTGAGTTCCTAAATTAAGTCTTTGCCACTTAAGCCGACCTCAGAACCCACTCGATGCCTATTCAAGGGCGAGTGCTCTTTAAACTGAAAGGAAATCCCTCTGAGAAATGAATTAATCCGTGTTTCGCTCAGAATTTGTTCTTTACGTAAATCGGTTCACATTTTTATCCTTTTCGAGCCTTTGTAGCTTCACTCAGCTATGAATATTTGTTAGCATTAAGAAATACTTAAAACAATTTTTCAAATTAGATAATATCAGAGTTTTTGGTGCGAGAAGAATATATATTTTTCAACGGTATAATAAGTTGGTATTCCAGAGTAAAAAGGCTATAAATAACATCATTCATAAGCACGTAAGAGACCTCATTTTGTATTCAAATTCTTAGGAAAACACAAGAACTTAGTTTCATTTCGTAACTTTTTACGGGTACTAGGAAAAACATCAAAGTCGTCACAACCGATTGCGTTTTCAATAGAAAGAACCATTGATTCAGAAAACGCAAAGATAAAATCTGTGCAAAACAAAGTTTTCCACGGAGGATGACATGAAATATTGTCAGTTTTCCGTCAATATGCATTGTAAAGTAGAGTGATGCGGCGGGCATCGACAGGGTTGACATGCGATCGCCGCACGCGACCCGCTGTCAACAAGGCCTTGTTTGTTCTGACCTCATGTTTGTGCGCCTGACATCCCTGGATGTGTGGCTAAATACTCATCATCTTTGTATCAACAGACCAGTGCGATAATGGACGTATATCGATCCAGTGCAGCAATTTTGGGGGAAATCAATGTAATGGCGAAGCAACTGAAATGTGGTTGTGGTTTATACTGTAAGATACCTATTTTAGCTTGTAGGTTCATGATTAATGACATCACCTGACAGCGGTTAGTAGATTAACTGATATCACATGTAATTAAGTGTAAAGATAATCCAAGCCCAGCAAAAATAAGGCAAAAATATCGGAATGTAGGTGCAATGCGCTGTTTGCGCTTCGTCACGACTTTATGTGTTTTTTAATTTTTAACGATCACGCTTTTTATATTATTTTCGTTTTACATGAAAACTGATCTTGTGGATTCGTTTTTTATTTGTTTTTTAGTCCAATTGTTTTATTATTCACCGCGTAGGTATCTGCATATGTTGTGCTTCGACAGGTTGGGTTTTGCGTTGCATATATTCGCGGTACTGACTATTTTAGTTTGCGTGAAAAATAGATTTTTGTTACGTTTAGGTACAAAAGGCTTAGGTATATTGACGACAGGTATCTGCTATCGTCATGACGCAATTTGAAAATTATCTGCGTATATTATGTACGGTAATTTATCCGTTTGATTACGTCACTATATTTATCAATTCGTTAGTATGTACCTACTGTAGATACAATCTTGAAGGAAACTTATTCTTTAAACTTCTACCACCTGACACCTGTTTTTGACAAACCGATAACATTTGGTATCAATCGGAAACGATATTATAAACATACCTATTGTTTTTACATACCTACTTGATTATATGTCAACAGTAAGAAATAACTATTATCATGAAATAGGTGAAGGAGACTTTACAAAATAGGTAAATACAGTTTTAATTAACAGAGAATATGCAGTCACGACCATACCATAGATGTTTTCTTTATTAATTCCTAGGTTCCTTAAAACTAAACGAATAATAAAACACCTGTCAAAGTACTTGAACAACGTTTTTTTCTAATAACTATCGTGAGACATACTAAATTAACTAAAACTTGCCGGTTCTTATATGATATAGTAGCGACCCGCCCCGACTTCGCATTTCTTAAGAATCACTCTATCCATTAAAAAAACCGCATCAAAATCCGTTGCGTAGTTTTAAAGATCTAATCATACATAGGGACAGACAGACAGCGAATAGCGAATTTGTTTATACTATGTAGTGATGGCTCATCCTCATAAGGTATGAGGAAGAATCCCTCTGTGATTCGAAACTAGTAGAGCTTTTCTCAGTATATTCACTTGAGTAACCCGCGATTTTTAGTTAATTTACTTCAATAACCTACTTTGAGGCTCTCATAACTTAATTTATTACAGGTATAAAGGACTACTTTAGTTGTAAGTTCAATGTATTTCTAT